AATGCCTGTGGGTGAAGGTTGGATTGTCTGAGTTGGAATAGCTCATTGAAATCCGTGTTTTAGCCTACTTGCGAGTAGCAAATTCCAAAACATTTTTCCAAAATAAACGGATATGCAATGCTTATTCACAAATTAGGCAATCTAGTCTATACTTTTGTGCTGTGCGCATAACATAGTAATTCTAGGCTAATAACCGGAATAAGAACACATAACATTTTCAAAACTGGATATCATGGTTAGTAGAGGCCGATCTTCGGATCGGGCGAGAGGGGGTGCTCATAGTTGACCTTCCCCAATCGTACCCAAGTTCCCGAGCCGAGGTAACTTTGGTGATGATGGACACGTGGCCTTTGGCACCGAATCAGGGTTTCCTAAATTCCCTCATAAAAAATATTTAGGTGGCGACTCTGTATCTGGCAAAGCAGTCCATGTTTGGCACTTCTTTTCTAAAAATCTATTTTCCAAAACGATTTGCCAGATTTAGATTCTTTGGTTCAGATTAAGAACCGTGACACAAATCGAGTCCGAACTGTAGCGGGGTCCCTTGCGGACATGTTACAGACACCTCGACTGACACGTCGGCATCACCTTGGCCACGTGTTGGTACTCAGAAAATATATCCCACACTTTTATACATCAAGCAGAAAAGGTTGAGAGGCTACACGTGAGATTCACATATTATTTCTATAATTCTAGAGACTACAAATTTTTAATAAAAATTTTATCATGAAAGTGAAACATAGAATATAATTTAAAATTAATACATTGTAAATCATATATAAAATGGATCTTATACACATAAGTACGAAAAGCTAACTATTTTTAGTTTGTCTTTTGGGGAGGGTCATTTTTAGATTCTTTTTTATATTATTTTTTCATTATGTCTAGTCTAATAGAACTCAAAAGTTTAAGATTGTGTTAAATCATGAATTTGAATAGATATTTAAAAATAAATAAATAAAATTTGAATGAAATATACTTACATTTTATTAATTTTTTCTTTTTTTCTTTTCCAAATTAATAATCTAAACCCAACCTAAAAAGTTTTTTGAAAAAATTATAGAAGGAAAAAGCTAGGAAACCATATTTATAGTGTCAGAATTTGTCCATTATCAATTTGCGTGACGAGTATCAAATTGAAGTGTGGGATTTAAACCATTACTATTTCTGAATAAAAAATTTCTAAGTTTATAATCCTTATGAATAAAAAAGTTGGCTGACAATTAGCAAATAAACACATGTACGGATCCACAAGTGCCAATGGAGGTCCCCCTGAAAACTCGAACACATTCCATGGAAGTAAATTGAGCTGTGACGGTTAAAGCCAATTTAACATGGCAAGTAAAATGCTCCTCTTCGTAATCCACTTGCGTGAAAAAGCCCAGCCAAGTTAAGCAAAGCAACCAAATAAAATAAAGGTCACATGAATCACCAAACACCCCTTTCCCAATCATTGCCACTCTGCATAGACATGTCCTTCAATCTTATCCTTAAAAATTACCCATTAATCAAACTCTCTCCATTCTCCTACTCGGTTTTTTCCAACATGTTCACCTCATCTACCAAACCAACAACCAGAACTCTCTGCAAATCACTTGCCATTTCCATTCTAATCCTCTATATCATCTACATCATTTCATGTTCTCAATCCTCACTACTCTTCACCAACTTGACTTCCAATCGACCCAACCATGCCAACACCCTGTTCCTGTCTCCAACCAATGTTACCCACCTGGTTTTTGGAATAGCAAGTTCATCAAACACCTGGCGGGCGAGAAGACGATACGTTGAATCATGGTGGCGACCCAATGTCACCCAAGGCTTCATCTTCCTTGATAGAACTCGCCGAGACTTCTTCCCATGGCCGCCTTCTTCTCCACCTCTCCGGATCTCTGAAGACACTTCTCGATACAGGGATTTCAACAAACATCGCTTCCAACAGGTAAGGACGAAACTAGAATTTCATATTAATAGTTAATAAAATTACAATTTAAGTTCGTACAAATTTATTAAAAATCAATTTATTTTGCTCTATGAATAAAATTATGATTATATTACTCCAACTACAAATTATTTATTAAAAAAACTACAACAATTTACATGATTGAAAATAAATTCTCTATTTAGAATAAATTAGAGTATTGGATTTTTTTTTTTAAAATGACGGTTGGTTTTTATTTATGAAAAATGTTTGGGAGTTTTAAATTATGAGCTCTAGGGTGTAGGCTCTGCCCACTAATGTGATGTTTTGGCTTTGATTTTTTTTTTTTTTTTCTTTTGAATTTTCACATCATTAAAACTCAATTAGAACTCCAACATTAGAAGATTGCTGTTTGTTTATTTATTAATTGGCAGAATAAAGGGAATAAATGTCATGGGGGAATGTAGAATATATTGGTACGTGTACCATTTCAAACGCTATGGCAAAGCTATTTAATTGAATTTTTTGAAAATGTCATCAACTTTCAACGTATATATACATAGATGTCTTTCGTGGTGGAATAGTACCTCTCGGTACGAGTCCGGTTTTGTTCATACAAATACAAATTCTCATTGATTTGAAAGAGTGAGGCATAACTTTGAATAAAATCAATACATTTTTTAAATATAAAACCTACTATTTTAAACTAATCATATTTTGTGTTTTGTTTCCCTTGGCACTAACATAGTCTGCCTCTGCCTCCAGGCCATCCGGGTGGTGCACATGGTTGCGGAGGCGTTTGCAGCGGCAAATGATGGGGTGAGGTGGTACATTATGACAGACGATGACACGATTGTTTTTGTCGATAACTTGGTGGATGTTCTGAGAAAGTACGATCACCGTAAGTACTTCTACGTAGGGGCGAATGCGGAGAGCATTTCGTCAAACTGGTTTCATTCATTCGAGATGGGGTTCGGCGGAGCTGGGTATGCGTTGAGTTATCCGCTGGCAGAGCTGGTGGTGAAGAATTTGGATGTGTATAAAGATTAGGAATGGCAATAGGGGGCAATGGGGTGGATATTCATTTCCCATCCCCATTCCCCTATAATAAATTTTCCCCATTCCCCATTCTCCATTCTCCATGGTACCACCCTCCCCATTTTTTAATGGGTATGGATTTTTCCCAACTCACTTTAATCCCCATTTTTATTTTTTATATTTAATGTTAACAACCACTTTTTTTATTTTTTTTTATTTTTTATTTTTTTTAAGGTTCACAACAAAAACTAAATATACCTTCAATCTTTTTTCTTTCTTTTTTAATATATTTAATGTTAACAATTTTTTTTTTTTAGCTAAATATACCTTCAATCTCTTTTTTTTTTAATATATTTAATGTTAACAACTTATTTTTTTATTTTTTTATTTTTTTTAAGGTTCACTGCAAAAGTTAAATCTCTTATTTTAACATAAATAATAACAAATTAAAATTTTTTACAAATCAAAACTTAACAAATAACTATAAATTGATACTCATAATTTTTATTTAAAAATAAAAAATTATTTATCAATTTGCGTGACGAGTATCAAATTGAAGTGTGGGATTTAAACCATTACTATTTCTGAATAAAAAATTTCTAAGTTTATAATCCTTATGAATAAAAAAGTTGGCTGACAATTAGCAAATAAACACATGTACGGATCCACAAGTGCCAATGGAGGTCCCCCTGAAAACTCGAACACATTCCATGGAAGTAAATTGAGCTGTGACGGTTAAAGCCAATTTAACATGGCAAGTAAAATGCTCCTCTTCGTAATCCACTTGCGTGAAAAAGCCCAGCCAAGTTAAGCAAAGCAACCAAATAAAATAAAGGTCACATGAATCACCAATTCAAAAGAAAACCCCAAACACCCCTTTCCCAATCATTGCCACTCTGCATAGACATGTCCTTCAATCTTATCCTTAAAAATTACCCATTAATCAAACTCTCTCCATTCTCCTACTCGGTTTTTTCCAACATGTTCACCTCATCTACCAAACCAACAACCAGAACTCTCTGCAAATCACTTGCCATTTCCATTCTAATCCTCTATATCATCTACATCATTTCATGTTCTCAATCCTCACTACTCTTCACCAACTTGACTTCCAATCGACCCAACCATGCCAACACCCTGTTCCTGTCTCCAACCAATGTTACCCACCTGGTTTTTGGAATAGCAAGTTCATCAAACACCTGGCGGGCGAGAAGACGATACGTTGAATCATGGTGGCGACCAAATGTCACCCAAGGCTTCATCTTCCTTGACAGAACTCGCCGAGACTTCTTCCCATGGCCGCCTTCTTCTCCACCTCTCCGGATCTCTGAAGACACTTCTCGATACAGGGATTTCAACAAACATCGCTTCCAACAGGTAAGGACGAAACTAGAATTTCATATTAATAGTTAATAAAATTACAATTTAAGTTCGTACAAATTTATTAAAAATCAATTTATTTTGCTCTATGAATAAAATTATGATTATATTACTCCAACTACAAATTATTTATTAAAAAAACTACAACAATTTACATGATTGAAAATAAATTCTCTATTTAGAATAAATTAGAGTATTGGATTTTTTTTTTTAAAATGACGGTTGGTTTTTATTTATGAAAAATGTTTGGGAGTTTTAAATTATGAGCTCTAGGGTGTAGGCTCTGCCCACTAATGTGATGTTTTGGCTTTGATTTTTTTTTTTTTTTCTTTTGAATTTTCACATCATTAAAACTCAATTAGAACTCCAACATTAGAAGATTGCTGTTTGTTTATTTATTAATTGGCAGAATAAAGGGAATAAATGTCATGGGGGAATGTAGAATATATTGGTACGTGTACCATTTCAAACGCTATGGCAAAGCTATTTAATTGAATTTTTTGAAAATGTCATCAACTTTCAACGTATATATACATAGATGTCTTTCGTGGTGGAATAGTACCTCTCGGTACGAGTCCGGTTTTGTTCATACAAATACAAATTCTCATTGATTTGAAAGAGTGAGGCATAACTTTGAATAAAATCAATACATTTTTTAAATATAAAACCTACTATTTTAAACTAATCATATTTTGTGTTTTGTTTCCCTTGGCACTAACATAGTCTGCCTCTGCCTCCAGGCCATCCGGGTGGTGCACATGGTTGCGGAGGCGTTTGCAGCGGCAAATGATGGGGTGAGGTGGTACATTATGACAGACGATGACACGATTGTTTTTGTCGATAACTTGGTGGATGTTCTGAGAAAGTACGATCACCGTAAGTACTTCTACGTAGGGGCGAATGCGGAGAGCATGTCGTCAAACTGGTTTCATTCATTCGAGATGGGGTTCGGCGGAGCTGGGTATGCGTTGAGTTATCCGCTAGCAGAGCTGGTGGTGAAGAATTTGGATGTGTGTATAAAGAGGTATCCGATCTTGTATGGGAGTGACCATGTTATGCAGTCTTGTATTGCTGATTTGGGAGTTTCCCTTACTCAGGAAAAAGGCTTTCATCAGGTGATTGAATATAGTCATTCATATAATTAGATTACATTATTTTAAAACAATGAATGATTTATTTAAAATCATATTTATCGTGTTTTTTTTTTTTTTTAATTGCCATTATCCGATAAATCTAATTTTTTTATATAATCTACAAGTCAAAACCTGAACAAAACATAATTTATAATTTTAAGTGAAATCAATACATTTTTTGGCTGAGAAGCTTGCAATTTTGGACCCATAAAATCCTGTGCTTTGTTCATGCACAATTTAAATTCAATAATCTACCCACAATCTTAAATTTCTTTGTGCACAAATTAACAAGCTGAATCCTACTTAATTGTCATTGCAGATTGACCTACACCATGACATATCAGGTTTCCTTTCAGCACACCCACAATCTCCTCTCATCTCCCTCCACCACCTCGACGCATTCGATCCAATCTTCCCCTCCATGGACAGACCCAACTCCCTCAACCACCTCATGAAAGCCGCGAAAGCAGACTCATCACGGTTACTCCAACAAACCATCTGCTACCACAAGCAATCCAACCGGACTTTCTCAATATCATGGGGCTACTCTGCTCATATCTATCAAGGTACATACCCTCCAAGCGTTCTTCTGAGACCGCTTGAGACGTTTGTACCTTGGAGTAGGGCTGCGAAACCGCCTTACATGTTCAACACTCGGGTTCTGTCCAGGAACCCGTGTGAAGCGCCTCATGTTTTTTACTTTGATTCTGTGGACGAGGAAAGTTATGAGAAGGATTATGTTGTTACGAACTACAATCTAACAGGGACTCCCCCGAGGTTGTTGGCTTGTTCGTCTGGTGGGAATCGTTATTCTGCCAATTATGTTGACAGAATCAGGGTTCTATCGCCATTGAAGAGATACACAGAGGTGAGTCGAATTAAGATTTCTTTTTTAAAAAAAAAGAAGTTTAGTTACAAATAATTAAATCACATAATGAATAACATAACGAAGATAACACTGTTAAACTAGCATAGGCTATTTGATCTTTCCCAAAAGAAGCTTGGCTAGCTGGAGAACAATACGCGTAATGATGTGTGTCATCTTGGTATTTTTCAAAAATTAATGATGTAGATTTTGTCTACCCATTTATCTATTAAATATTGGGTCGTATTTTTTGCTTGGTTCTAATGTTGACACTCCATTTGTTTGAGCGAAACATATTTTTCTATGTTTGGTGGGGTGGTGGTGGGACGATGGTGGAGGTGGAGTGGTGGTGGGGTGGTGGCGGTAGCTATGGTGACGGTAATGGTGATAGCGGAAGTAATCGTGATGTAGTGGTGGAGGTCAAAGTAACGCTTTGAGATTCAAAGCAAACTTTCAACACTGGTCCTTTCATACATATTTATAAAAAAAATAATAATAATTATAGGTCTAATTAATTTTTTTTGGTATTTCACAATGCTCATAAAAAAGTTACTTCCAATATATATCTATTATAATTTATTTAAATATACATTAAAGTTTACAATAAGAAAAATGGTCAAAAAATCTAAATTGAAGTATAAAATAAAATAACTAATCTATTACATAATCCAACTTATAAGCTAAATCATTTCCGATGGATAAAATTGATAGTCTATTTAATATTTTATTTGATATAGTTGGGCAAATGTAAGATTTAATCAATTTTAATTTGAAAAGACTAACTGTAAGTAATATAGTCAATTATATTCCATACATAATCCATACATTTGGAAAATAACTATTCAATAATTCTAAATAATTCACCACATCAATAAATTTTCTCGTTTCTTCCAATAAAAAAATAACTACGTACTAATTTTAAATAATTTACCACATCAATTATTTATTAGTTTTAAATCATAACTAAATTTTATTGAGAGCCTTTAAATTTCAGTGAGATCATTTTATAGGCTAATATAATAGTTAACAAAATTTTAAGGCCTTTTTTTGAGTCAATTTTTTGAGGCCAAAGTGACCGCTTTGCCGGCTTAGCCCAAAGCCAGCCGTGGTAGCGATAGTTGTGTGATGGCATTTGCAAGAGTTTAGTCCAAAAATTATTTTCTGCCATCTAAAGAAAAAAAGCATTTTCTATCTAAATAAACTAGAAAATACCAACAAAAAATAAAAAATAAAAAAATTGAACCATTAATTTAAAAAAAAAAAAATGCTGATGTGAACATCTAGACCTCCAATTGAGATGCCCGAATTCTAATCTTCTTGTCAGCTCCTTTCGCAATTCAAGAAAAAAAGAAAACAATAAGTGTATTTGGTTTAAATTTTTTGGATTAAGTTTTTTAAAAAATTTCGTATTTTTTTATTTTTAGTGAATATTTTTAAATTTTTAAACATTTTTTTTACCTTTTTAGATGCACTTTACTTAGATGTATCTAAAAAGTAAAAAATTTGTGAAAAAATATTTTTAAAATTTAATAAATACATAAAAATATAAAAAATATACTAAATTCTTGTATTTTTTTGTATTTTTGGTATTTGGTGAATTTTTAAAAGATTTTTTTTACAAATTTTTTTATTTTTTAGGTATATTTATGTTAGGTATGTCTAAAAAGTAAAAAAAAAATTGCTTAAAATATTTAAAAAATTCAATAAAAATAAAAAAAATACGGAAAATAAGAAAGCAGAATTTTCTGAAAAGTGTTTTTGAAAAAATACAACCAAGCAAGCTGAATACAGTTTTTTCTTTTTGCTTTTATTGTAGCCGTTCATAGCCAATCCCTTAGTCCTAATCCAAGGGTTACGATACTAATATCAATTATCAAACTGGCAACATTATTTGAAAACATCTGCCCTCTAGTTAATCCACAATACATTGATATTGTATAAAATGTATATTTTTTAAGTGAATAATATCATGCTATATAATATTCTTAGATTACTAGAATTTGAACAATATTGTTTCAATAGTAAATGGTTGCTGGAATATGAATTCTGCTCTTACGAAATGAGACAGAAGATCTCCTCTCATAAAATTTGTAATTTTTTCTTTCATATTAATCTAATTTAAAGTTGAGGGTGTGACATGTTTATTTAATTCAATTTTTCTGTTGCTTGCATGTGCATGTTTAATCATAGGTTGGCAGTAGAAGAGAATGCTGCGACATAGTACAAGAGGCCGGCATGAATACCTCCGAGGTCAAACTTAGGGCTTGCATGAAACATGAACTTCTGGCTTAAAAATGTACTAATTTCAGCGTTTGACTCGGTCAACTTTTCAAATTTTTGGCCTCTCTGTGTGTTTGGGTGTGGGGTTATGAAAGTAACAATTAGAAAGAGTCTAAATTCTGTCAAAATGACAAAATGTCTCAATTTGTTCTATTATTGTTTTAAGCTGGGCTTTCAAATCTGAATTAGAGGAGGGTGTTGTTTGAACTTGCGGGTTGATCACATGTCGTGTTTTAATAATTTAAATTAGGGTTATAAACGAGTTGAGCCGAACCAAGTCGAACCGAGCTTAAGTATGTTTGGGCTTGTTTATTAAGATTTTAACGATCCCGAGCTCGAGCTGAATAAAAATTTAACAAACCGAGCTTGAGTCGAGTTTGTCTTAGGCTCGACTCGAGCTCGAACCTGTTCACGAGCCTTAACGAGTCAAAAAATTTATAAATTCATACTTGCATGTAGGACCAAAGTTACAATTAAAACTTTAATTATACAATTATATATACAATATATATAAACATACTAAAAAAAAGTCCATATTTTATTAAAATAATAATATCTACTACTACTATTATATAAATGTACTATTTATAGTTAACTATTATTTACATTTATATTTTTTAAATATATAAATAACATATTTCTCTTATTTTTGTTACATATTTTTATATTATTTAATATATAAATAATAAATATTAAACGAGCCGAACTTACGAGCCAAACTTTAGAATGTTTGGACTTGTTTATTAAAAATCTAACGAGCTTGAGCTCGAGTTCGAACGCAAAAAAAAATTAATGAACCGAGTTCGAACGAGCTCTTACCGAGCCGAGTTCGAGTTTGTTTACGAACAACTCTATTCATTTGCAGCCCTAATTCAAATCATTTATTTTATAAAGTTTACTATAACAAATAAGAGTTTTAGAGACCACATGTTTTGGTCTCTAAAAGTGAAAATTTTATTACAAAAGACATTTAGGGACCAATTTCTATCGTCATGAAGATAGTCGCTAAAAGGTCGTTCCGAAAAGTCCAAAACAAGCCTTTTAGCGATAAAATTTTAAAAATATCACTAATAAATAGACTTTTAGGGATAAAATAATTTGGTCTTAAATGGTTTACTTTTTGAGATAAAAAATTTGGTCCCAAAAAGATAATAATTCATCACTAATGTCTAATTTTTGTTGCTAAAAATATAACGACGCCATTTTTCGTAACAAAAATATTTGGTCCTTAAAAAATAATTTTGTCCCTAAATTTTGGTTTCTAAAACCTTAATTTTTGGTAGTGGTCATTCGTGTATTTCAAATCTGGATTAAAGGGTGTTGTCCGAACCTTTGGGCTCATCACAGATTTCATTTTGATGATTCGAACAATTCATTTCGTAATGTCTTTCGTGTATGTAATTCATATAAAAACTTAAATCAATCTAATAATCGTAACTTATTTAATTTATCACAATTGTTTTTAAAAAAAAAATGTACAACAAGTGTATAATTTTTTAAATAGATTATTCATTTTTTTATGACAAACATGATAAATTGAATTGGCTATGATTTTGGATCAACTTAATTTTTTTTTGGTGAGTGATATAAATAAAAGATCATACAAAATAAATAATTCAGCCTCCGTTTGGGAAGTGGGTTGGCTTTTTGGCTTTTTTAACTATTTTAGCCTGAGCTTAAAAGCTTGGTTTGGGAAGAGCTTTTTGACTTTTTTGAGTTTTTTTGTAAGAGAATAATGTAATGATTATGAGTTAGATGTGATGTTTTGTTTATTATGGCTAAAATAACCTATTTTATTTTTTGTGACTAAAATAACCAAAAACACCTAGAAACCGACTTGCCAAACACAAGCTCAAGTTGTTAAAACAGCGCTAGCGACGAGTCCTATTAGCTTGGACAATACACTCCAATTCAGATTTGGATTGGAGGCAATCCATATTCTTTTATTGTTTAAGTTCTTTATTTGACAAATGATAGAAATAGTCAATCTAGCATTGTCATTACTCTAGTTTAGAGTTTGCTTTGGTGTATCAAGCAAAATACAAAACACTCCTCACAATTTGACGAAAATATACAAATTTTTTTGTTTCTGATTTCAAAAATCACAAATAACTTTGAAGTTTAAGGTCAAATTATAATAGTTATTATATATCGTCAACAGTTGTCACGAACAAAAATAATTTGACATTAACATTTTAAGGTCTTGTTTTGAAAATGATTCTATATGTAGCTAAAAGACTAATTAGATGGTGGATGCTAAGTTTTTTACTAAAAGATTTTAACCTTTTAAAATTTGATTTTTAAGGTTATTCTAGTGTTTTAGACACACATACATATAAGAGTATTTTTTGAACTCGCATTAGAAAATGGTAATATCAAATTATTTTCATTCTTAATTTTGACGGTTTACGATTGATTTTATTCTAATTTTATGTTCCGGTTTTTATTTTTATTTTTTTTATTTAATAGTATTCTCATCAAATTTGGATAATTTATTTTTATTTTATTCGTAGAGTTTACATTGCATGCATGTGCACACACTTGTTTTTTTTTTTCGATACAGCGGAAATGAAATGCACACACTTGTTGAGAAGACAGTTTGTAACTCGGAATTACTGATTTATATTTCAGGAAAAAAAATGAAAGTGTGTGAGTAATTTTCTGACCACACTGCCCGTTTAGTAATCAACTAGAGAGCACGGGCAGAATAGATGGCTTCAGTCAACCTGTAACAGAAAGAAAAGGCTCCGGCGGTGGCTCTTCTACCCGGGGGCACTCTGACGATCAAGTCAGTATATCTCTCAAAGATAATCAAGTGCTAAACTCACTGCTCAAAGCATAAATTGCGCACCTTAGACCTACGAGGGTGCCTCTCTTTTATAGTTTACTTAATCCTAGTCTCATTAGAAGCTTGACTTCTGTGGACTCCAATTCAGTACTTATCTTGGACTCTTCAAGAGATAAAGATAAACTCTCCAAGAGCTTTATCCTTATCTTGGCTAAATCTCCTCTTTATTCTAGGACTCTTGTCCCTTATCCGTTTATCTCGGATACCGAAATTGCGTACCTTAGACCTACGAGGGTGCCTCTCTTTTATAGTTTACTTAATCCTAATCTCATTAGAAGCTTGACTTCTGTGGACTCCAATTCAGTACTTATCTTGGACTCTTCAAGAGATAAAGATAAACTCTCCAAGAGCTTTATCCTTATCTTGGCTAAATCTCCTCTTTATTCTAGGACTCTTGTCCCTTATCCGTTTATCTCGGATACCGATATCTTCAGAGATAACCTCGGCAACGCCGAGATAACCTCGGCGTTATGACCCTGATACGTGGCACCTCAGCTGACACATCGGCGTCACCTTGCCACGTGTTGGTACTCAGAAATATATCCTCACAACTGCCCCTAGGTTCTATTTCCGGCATTCTGAGGTAATGGAACCTATATCGGTACTTCCTTCTGTACATCGGCTCAAGAATTCCTCAGTCGAGATCATTTTCGGGCTGACATGTTTTCTTCAGCAAACAAGAATTCCAGTGAATTTTTTCACGTGTGTGAATTGTCACGTATCATTTACTCGACCGTTTCATTCAGGCGTCTCCACCTTACTGGACCGTGCTCATGACGCGCTTGCAAGCCGTCTCTCTCTCACGTGCGCCGTCTGACGCATACGTTCTTTTAGGCGTATTGATTACGTTTTTGCCGCCGTTTCAAATTTTTGACAAAAACATTTCCCTCTTTCTTCATTTTTCACTTTTGCATTCGATTTTTCTTCACTTTTTCTCTTTCTAGCTCCTGGATACGCCATTGTTCCAGCCTTCAAGCTCTGCAACTGCCTTCCGTTCTCCCTTCCTTGAAGCTTTCGTCGTTCTCGTTGCATCCGTAACCGTCGTCTGACTTCGGCAATCTTCATACCGACTTCACTTTTTTCTGGTAAGCCACTGTTCCTTTTGTTTTCAATTCTGTTGATATTCTTCATTTCTTGTTGCCATTATTGTTTCAAATCTTGCGAATCACATATCTGAACATATATATTCAAATGGTTTTGATTTTGCCCATATCTTGAATACATACTGTTCACCACTTTCTTGCACTCTTGTTACTATTCTTGACCATTTATTTCTCGTATTCTTTATGCTCTTGATAGCCCATCCCTGTTCTTGATTCTAAAGCACATTTTTGCCTTTCTGTCTTCTAGATCCGTGCCTTCGACCCTTGCTTTCATAGATCTAGGTTTGGGATTTGTTGTGTAGAACCCATAATTTAGGAAAAAACTGAAACTAATACTTTACCTAGATTTTTGCCGAGGTCTTATTAACCCTCTCGTGACATTTTTTCTCTAAAATCCAACCCCTCTAATTCAGGCCGATATCATGGGTATGTGGAGACATAGAGTAGATACTCCGACCAAACTTCAGTATTTTAGGCAAGAATTTTCTATCCCTGCCGATGTCCATCTGAGGCTGGCTGGAGATAACGACTCCATCATGCCCACAGATGATTCAATGTCTTTTCCCATTGTAGATTTCACTAAGTGTGGACTCCGTCTCCCACTCAACATCCTTTTTCGCGAGATTCTTCATTACTACAAGTTGAACCCCATGCAACTGGCCATTAACTCTTATCGAGTGATCCACGGTATCATTGCCTTAGCTAAACAGGAAAACGTTAGGATCACCCTAGCCGATATCCAGTACTGCTATACCATGTGTGCCCTTAATTTGAAAGGAAAAGGCTACATTTATTACCTTAAGCCGAGATCCACAGAATTCAAAATCGTAGTCGACCTCCCAGACTCCAACAAGGGGCTGGAGATGAGTATCTCATTACCTCGGGAAATTGGGAGTTTGCTCCAGACGAGAACATCCATCTCTACCCTCTTCCCCGATCAGTTTTAGAGGGCAAGGGTAAGAGCCCAGTATTCATCTTTGCCTGTTTTCTTTCGAAGTCTTAAATACTTTGTCTATTTCTGACGTCTGTTCCTCTTGTAGCTGTTCGTCAGCCACAGAAAAATTTTCGCCAATCCTTTGTCCCCAGCAAGGATTTGAAGAAACTTATGGACTTGCCAGTCCATAAAAGGAAAGCGATTGTGCTTCTCAATTTTATTCCATCATACAAGTCAACTTTGCCCGACGTTCCCAAAAGGAAGAAAAAAAGCCTTTCTCCACCCTCTACTACAACTCCGTTGACTGCATCCACATCACGAACAGATCAAGGATCAAC